CATAGCGACCCTGTATAGGGTTTTCGAGGAGCAGTTGTTGTTGTTGTTAAGTGCCGTCGAGTTGATTCCGACCCATAACAACCCTGTGTAGGGTTTTCGAGGAGCAGTACTTGGTACTAAATTGTGTTAAGACAATGGTTACATGGGTATTTTAAACCTGTGCATGGATTAATAGAAATCCAGGTAGCAGCAGAATATGTGGTACCTAGATTTAAAGAGCCTATAGTCTGAAAGTTTTTAAATCAAGTTTCTGAGTGGTAGAATGTTATTAACATAGAAAGTTAGCCTCATCATTTTATAGATAAGGAGATTAGAGTCCAAGAGGTGTGTCTTCTTCTATGAACAATTACATAGCTATGTAGTGGTAAGAGTTGCTCCTAGAGCCCATGTAACTCCAGTATTCTTTCGACTGCTGTATGCTGTTTTAGTTTTTCCTCTTTTTTTCTCATAGAATTTTGGTCTAGAGTGGTACAGAACAGCTGGTGGTGGTTCTCTCTTACCAGTAATATTATCTAAAAGTCCATTTGAAGTGGAAACAAAAAAGATACATTAATCGGTAGGAAGAGTCTTCCAGTTTTACACTATTAAGTTTTTATAGTAGTAGGCACTTTCACTGCTTTTAGAAGTATTACTACCTTATTTAGAGTTTCTGTGTTTGCCATTGTACTGGGCCTCACCCACTTGTCTTGTGGGTTCCTGATTTGGCGCACTGGGATTAGCAAACCATAAGGTTGACGGTTCAAACCCACCAGCTGCTCTTTGGAAACCCTGTGCAGGGTTGTGATGAGTCAGAAAGAACTTGACAACGCTTAACAACACCTTATTTATACAGGTGGTATCTTTTCCATAACATAGGAATTTTATTTAAAGCAACTATTTTCTTTGATGTATCCATGATACACAGAAGATAGGCAGCAGTTGGCAAACAAAGGTAAACAGTGCATCTTACTTGTGTAAAAACAAGGTCATTCTGTTTAATTTGGGGCTTGTGAGGAAACAGTGCAGACCTGTAGAACACAGTTGAGTCCAAAATGTCATGAATAGTTAAGGATAAGTAAATCTGCTTCTTTGTACCACAAAGGCATGTTTGACTTTTTAGTCTCATTATGTTGTTGTTGTTTTAATGTTTTATTGTGCATTATGTGATCGTTTACATGGGAGAACGTCAGTTTTACTAGCCTCATTATGTTTTACTAAGTTCTTCCTCTGGTATACTTTTAGGGAAAATGGGAAGTCCCTCTGCCCAAAGTCCGTGCCCAGGGAGAAACAGAAGTATTAAAAGTTATTCGGACAGGAAAGAGAAAAAAGAAAGCATGGAAAAGGATGGTTACCAAAGTCTGCTTCGTTGGAGACGGCTTTACACGAAAACCACCTAAATACGAAAGATTCATCAGACCAATGGTAAGTCATTTGAAAGAGTGTGGTGCATAAATGTTAGCTCCTGTGAAGTATATGGCACACTGCTACAATTCCCTAAGAGTGCCATGAAACACTGAAAGACGGCATTCTTCTGTGTCTTTGTTACTCTCAAATACTGATTGGCATTCCTTAGCCCTTTTTCCACTATGGTCAAGAAACTTGCCGTTAGCTTCATAAGAGACTTGAGATGCAAAAGGATTTTTCATAGCATTCCCAATGAATTTGGGCTTTTAAACATATTAGAGTCATTTTATGCACACAAACTTAATACTTTACTCATTCAACAAATGAGTTTCTACTACCAGTATATCTGACATTGTACTTGGCTTACCCACTTACTTGGCTTTGAGGAAAACAGAAAACTTGAGGGGTTGGGAGTGGGTATGTGCTGTGGAGTCGGTTCTGACTCGTAGTGGCCCTGTATAGAGTTTCCAAGGCTGTAATTCTTTACAGGAGCAGAAAGCCTCATCTTTCTCCCGAGGAGCAGCTGGTAGATATAAATTGCTGACCTTGTGGTTAGCAGCCCAACATGTAACCCACTCTCATACCAGCGCTTCTTGAAAACTTGAGTGGGACTGCTTTTTCAAGAGTCCATTCAGTTTTAATAAGGACTATATCTTTGGAGTCCTGGTGTGTTGCTGTGGGTTAATGCGCCAGACTGCAAAGCCATTTGAACTGCAAGGATGGCGGTTCAAGCTCACCAGCTGCTCCTCGGAAACCCTACACAGAGTCGCTATGGGTCGGGATCAACTCGTAACAACAACAACAAATGTCTATAATTTTGTAAACTTCAATATGCAATCTTGGAAAAAGAGAATTTAATGTAAAAATTCATAATTTAAGTTTTATTGACAGCAGTGATCCCAAAATTCACTAATCCTCCACCCCCAAATAATTAAAGCTTTCTTTTTTAGAGTCCATATAAAGAGATTGAATTACTCTGTCGTATACAGAAACTGAATTACTCTACTAAGTAGATATCAAGCCTGGTTAGCCAAAAAAAAAGGGCAGAAAGAAAAGTTAGCATATGCTATCGGGGTTCTACTCAAGTAATTTTTAATGAACTAAACTGTCAGATACCACTTATTTTTGTTGTTAGAGTTTTAATGGAACACAGCTGTAACCATTTATATAGTCATCGATGGCTGTTTTCTCAGCTGAATAATTACAACAGACACCACATGGCCTTCAGTGTCTAAAGTATGTACTAGCTGGCCTTTTATAAAAATTATTTGTCTGCCCCTGGACTACATCATAGACTCTCCTTGTTTGATTTCATATTTATGAACTTCTGAATACATTTTAGTGACCAAATTCTATAGACAGAAAACATGAGTCAAGATGCTGTTTCTCATACACTTGGTTAATGAATCCATTACTAAGATGCTGATTTAAGACTACTCTCCCATATGTTGGACTTGTGGTGTGGTCCTGTGCATCAGCACTGGACTGTGAACCACAGGGTCTGCAGTTCAAGCCCACCAGCTGTTCCTCAGAAGCCTTATACAGGGTCATTATGATTTGGAACCAACTTGATGGCATTTTAACAATTCCCATACACTGCCTGTGTGAGTTGTTCCAACTCATAGCAGAACTATATAGGGTTTCTGAGGCTATAAATCTTTACAAGAGCAGAAAGCCTCATCTTTCTCACAGGGAGTGGCTGGTAGATTCAAACTGCTGGTCATGTGGTTAGCAGCCCAGCGCATAACCCAGTATCACGAGTGCTTCTAACTTTACCATTTAGAGGCAAAAATTTAAGAGTTTGCAAAGTGTGTGGCTTCTAAAGTGCCAAAGCCCAAAAGACTAGTTAGTCTCTGTAACAGACCTCTCGAGGCTCAGTCTTTGCCCAATATTACCATTAATGGGAAGACAGCTGGCAATCCACCTCTTCTTTTTCATCATGGAATGTAGCTGACGTTTCTAAAGACTTGGTATGTTCAAATTTAGGTTTGATTTTCATATTCCACACCCCATTTTACCTGTGAGCAAGTCATGTAACTTGCCAATCCTTGTTTCATCAGTAATAAGAGGGTCGTTGTGAGGTTATCATGCTTAAATGAGCTAATTATGAGCTCTGGCAATGCCCCTGGCATGTGTCAACTCCTCAGTAAATAGAGATGGGACAAAGTCAGTGCTTGATAGATGATAAACACTCTTCAGGAGATCTGCATGTTTGTAGGTTTTCCTCACTGATCCTATAATCCTGTGATTGCAGGCCACCCTCAGGTTAGGAATTTGCAGGTCACTTGGAGCAGCTGCATGTAGTTTTCATTTAACCTCTAGTGACAGGGCTTGCAGCCTGGGCAGCACAGCATGCCTCTTGCCAGTGTCCCACAGCTTCAACATGTCATTTTTCCTAGTCCAGTGACTCAGGAGTCACCCACATCTTAAAAATTCTGCCTTGTTCTTGTTTTGTTCATCAGCTGTAACAGAACCAGTACAAAGCCCTCCATTAACGGGCTAGCAGGAATTGTCCGTAAATTGTGTACGGAATAATCCAGGGCTGCCTGTTGCTACCTTTAGCCTATAGAATGATTAGCATTTTGTGTGACATGTTAAGGTTTTACATTATTTAAAACTAAAAGGTGACATGCAATCCTTTTTATTTATTTTTTCTATTTTTGGAGATGAGTTGGAAAAACAAAAAGGACCTATACCCATCATGTTAATATTCTGGGCACAAACTTTTTTTTTTTCACTAGGGCTTACGTTTCAAGAAGGCTCACGTAACACATCCTGAGCTTAAAGCCACCTTCTGCTTACCGATACTTGGTGTGAAGAAGAATCCCTCATCACCGCTCTATACAACTCTGGGTGTAATCACCAAAGGGACTGTCATTGAAGTGAACGTGAGCGAGCTGGGCTTGGTGACACAAGGAGGCAAGGTTATCTGGGGTACGTACATTTCTGAATGTGAAGCTGCTGCTTTTCTGCAGTCCTGAAATAGACTTTTCAGTGGACGTAAGCATTGATTTTTTTTACATGTATAACGGCTAGATGAGTTAAAAGTTGATGAAAATTTTATTTTTTAAAAGGTAACTTTGAATACAATTATTTCATTTGGTTTAGTGGTTGAGTTACATAAGGTGTCTCTGTAGTCTTTTAGATATAATTTTATGCTTTTTAGTAACAGGCAGTAATCGCTTTCATTATGAGGGAAATAAATGCACAGAGTATAATGACCAAAACCAAAAGAAAATACCATTAATAAATAATGAGTAAGGGAAGGGAGGTAAATGCGTAATTGTGCTATTTCAATGATAATTAAAACAAATGGGTCAGGCAGCAGTTTTTAATTCCTTTTGCCTCATTTGCATAATTTCTGCTTTTAGTGCCCCAGTAGTTCTAAATCTCTTTAAAAAGGAAGCTTATACTCCTGTAGAGCGTGGTTAAGTGCTTGACAGCTCACTGGAAGGTTGCTGCTCTTGACCCCATCTCGGGTTTCCTAGGCTTTTAATCTCTGTGGAAGCAGAAAGCCTCCTCTTGCTTAAAGGACAATTCTAATCTGTCCTCTAGGGTTACTGTGAGTCTGACGTCACTTTTGGTTTGGAGAATTGCATCAATTGGCTCACACTTCATGTTGTTTCCGAGCTGTAGAGTCCGTTCTGACTCATAGCAACCCTGTAGTATAAGGTTTCTGAGGATGGGTTTGAACTGCTGACTTTGCAGTTAGCAGTCCAGTGTTTATCCTACAGAGTCCCAAAATAGGAAACTGATTTAAATTCTGACCCGTTTTCCATTCCGAGTCATATGGGAAAGTAGCAGTGCTAGGGTCAACCCACAAAGTATAATGTGCTAACAGTGGAACTACCTGACCACCATTTGTAAAAACTGTTTATAAAACAATCACATTCAGAACTAAAGCTTGGTCTTGAGTAATTTCATGAATATCCTAAGGTTTGCTTTTAGTCTCTTAAATGTGGTCATTAGAGACTTTAGGCAAAGATTATAATTTTTAATATTAATAATTTTTATAAGCTAACATCTTTTTTCCTCCCGCTTAGGTAAATATGCTCAAGTTACCAACAATCCTGAAAATGACGGATGCATAAATGCAGTCTTACTGGTTTAACAGCAGTTTCCTTTAAGTCATTTCTTATTGGTGAAGACTACAACCAGGAAAATTACCATCACCTGTGTTTCTGAGGACTATCGCATAGCCTTACCCGTCTGCAGTTATTAAGAACTATGTATGATGTTGTTAAAAACATTAAAATTGTCCAGTTTTACAAACCTGTCTTTATTTTTGCATTCTAAGGATTTTAGGTGTTCATAAGACTGATTAAAAGAACATTGTGGAAATAAACTTGATCACTACCTGTAGTGATGAGTCGGTACTCAGCAATGCAAATCTCTGGTAACATATTGGTTATGAATCGGGCTGCTAACCTCAAGGTCAGCAGTTCGAAACTACCAGCTGTTCCGAGGGAGAAAGAAAAATGAGGATTTCTGCTCCCGTAAAGATTTACAGCCTCAGAAACCCTGTACAGGGTCACTATGAGTCGGAACTGACTCCACGGTACTTCACATTACTTTAAAACACCATTTTCATACATAGAGGTTAACCAGTTGCTTTTAAGTTCACTCCAACTCGTACCTACCCCATGTTTGTTAAGAGCAGGACTGTGCTCATATGATTTCCATGGGCTGGTTTTACAGAAGTGGATCTGGCCTTTCTTCCAAGGAGACTCTGGTTGGACTTTCAGTTAATAGCCAAATGCCTGTGTACATGACCCTCGGGCTCTACATAAAGGTTAGAACACACTTAAATACGGGGCCTACGGTAGGAAAACTCTGCTTGAGAGTAGAGTTCCTAATTAGATCAATCTTTTCACCTCCATGATTAATCAGTCCTTAGAACTTACATTACCATTGTAAGCTATTGTTGCCTTATCACTTGTAGATAAATGGAAGTATATTGTGATTTTCTAACTACATTATGACAAAGGAAATGTTTGTACCTTTAGCATTTTTTATCTTCCAAACTGAGGAGTGGTGGTAAAGTACTGTCAAGTCGGTTCCAACCCATAGTGACCCCATACAGGATTTCCGAGGAGTGGCTGGTAGGTTTGAACCACTGGCCGTGTGGTTAGCAGCCCAGTGCTCAGCCTGTAGCACCACACTAGGACTTCAAATAGGTGTAGCATTTCTAGTTTTCAGAATGGTATGAAAAATTGGTTTAAATAATTTGTTATTCAAATCTTTAACTGCAGTTACTTAGATAATACAAAATAGGCCATGTTAAAGGGTTGTTAACTTGGGAAAGCACTTTTGCGATTTGAATTCTATGTATGTGGCTCAATATTTTGAGTTTATTAATTTATCTGTAATTAATAATCTGTAAAAGGAGCTCTGGTAGCATAGTGGTTACAAATTGGGCTGCGAACTTAAAGGTCAGCAGTTCAAAACTACCAGCTGCTCCACGGGAGAAAGCTGAGGCTTTCTGCTCCCTGTAAAGATTTACAGCCTCGGAAACCCTGTACAGGGTCACTATGGGTCGGAACCGACTCCACGGCACTTACCAACAACAAAAAATCACAGAGTTAGTTTTAAATTGTTTATTTTTTTTAAGTATATCTTCAAGTACAACCAATGTGATTATGCCTTTTACAAAATCATTCCAGGTCTAAACAAATTTCAGTAACTTAAACATATCTTCAACTAAATTAAGGTACAGATGTCAAAACAGACCAGGAAACAATCACAAAATAAAGGTTTAATTACTTTAAAAAAAATAAAAACAAATAAGTACTCCAGTAAAACTTGCTATTCTGAATATTAAGGTAACATCATTTCTAAGTAGAAGTTTATAAAATAGCTACAGACACATAGGAAAAGGCTAGTTCCTTGAAAATGACATTCAGTAATGTACAATCAATCACTTGAGATGATACAAAAGCTGAACCTTTCTTACAATTAGGTTTTAACAAATTACCTTGCTACAATATTATAAATAGGTGATGTATGAATGACTCACGTTTTGGAAGGTGAAACAAAATTTTGGGCAAGCAATAGTACAGAACTGAGGTTTACCTATTTTTTTTGTACCAAAATTCAAAAAGAAAATGACCATCTTATACAAAGGAAGCTTGATATTAAATATGCAAACATAAGCATAACACTTAGAACTAGCTGCACCCATGACATGACTGGATCACATCTTAAACACCGTATTGCCATAGTGAACAGAACAGGCAGAGTTTTTCTAAAATACTGTTACACAGATGAATAATGTTAGTATAAATTCTTTATATACATCAAGATCAATCTCAATTTGCTGGTGTGACTGATTACACTGTAGAATGGTCGTGCCAGAGGGCAAAGCAGAACATACGAACAGATACTTAGTACTAGGGAATTGCTCAACTTAATGCAACCATAAACGCTCATCAATACTTGCTAAAGTCACTGAAACAATTTTAGGTACAGTTCCGGTAATTTGCTGTAAGTGAGCCATTAGTCACTAGAAATACAATTCTTGACATTGAATGGAAATACCATTAACAGAGATACATTTTAGTAGAAGTCTGACATCCTACATCATGCTGTTTTAGTTTTATTAAAAAATTCCTAACACCCTCACTTTCAAAAGGTGGAGAGGGACTTTGTAATAAACTTTTATACTTTTGTGATGTCTAGCAATTAAAATTTGAAAGTTTAAAATTTTGCTATTAACTGTTCTGCTTTTTATTACCCAAGGAAGTACATATGTATGTACACAGACTGAAGTGAATGCCCTTTGGCACAGACAAGTTCTAAACAAAAAAAAAACAAAAAAACACTTCACAAAGGACTTGAATGTGACCACACAACAACTAGACTGGTTAAAATCAAAGTCACTCATCTGTAATTCTGAATGTTTTTCTAGTATCTTGCAAAAACCAAAAGTACCTGATTAAATTTATTTAGACTTCCTGTTGAGGTTCATTAACATGAAAGTTAGTTCTTTCCGTATGACCTCCTTTTTCTCTACCATCTATAAACCTCGAAGTAACATTTGCTGTCAGAGGTAATATGTAATGAAAGTATTTTTTATGTGTTGAGCATAAAGCTTTCAAGTTGCTTGAAAGTCACTGTTTTAAGAATACACCAGTCATAGACAAGTTTACCTTTCAGTCACCTAGTGGTCACATGAATAGCAGATCATTTTTGTAAACTCAGCAACTATATTCCCAACATAGTAAAAATTGTCTGTGTGCTCAATCTTTAAAAAAAGAAACTTTTTACATGAAAGTATTTTTAAAGAGAACAATGGAGCAACCTAAATAGAAAAGATCTGAAGGTGTTTCGAATCTATTCCAATAAACCAAAAATGGAAAGGTTCAGAATTTACTGAAGTATAGCAGAATTTACTTACAGCCCAAATTGTGACATTAACCAAAGGAACTTAAAATGTGTACAATCACAGGACCATCTGAAAGACATATTAGATGTAGTCATTCTTATCTCCCGCTTAATTAGCATTTCTTGAGGAAACAAATGGACATAGTGCTTTAATTTTTACTGATTGGAATTTAGCTATTCTGATTGCCTTTTAAAAGATGATTCACTGAGATATTGCTAAAGTAACAGTCTCCAAAAATAAAATTTAATAACACTGCCACCTCACCATTAATCTGTAGCATCTCCCACAATGACATAAAACCATACCATTTTTTTCATAATACGGATCAAGCTGTTGAAAAACAACCTAAATGGGATCAGAGCATTCTCCAACAAGTGCACACAAATATATGTAATACTTTCAAAGAGGAGATTCTCCTTGGAATCTAAGAATAACCATTTTGCTTATTTTAAAAAAAAGCGACTACACAAAAGTTGACAGCTGAATTTTTTTTTTTTTTAATTTCCCTAGGCAAAGGCCTTTGCTTTAGCAGCACAATGTACACACACACACACACACACAGGCTGATTACAACCTGTCGTCCTGGAACGAATCAAGAGTGAGCAGGATAATCATCGTAATGAAACTAAGTATGTGATTGGTTGATTGTAAAGCCGATGACCTGCTCTGTAAACCTTCACTCAATTCACAATAAAAAGTTAAAAAAAAAAACTGACATTTCAGATTTACAGAAAACTTACAATAATATTACAAAGAATGTCTGTATCCCTCCCTCCTACCCCCCCAAAAAAAAAAAAAAAAAAAAAAAATTGTGAGCAGGACCAAAGGGACAATTGAAGCCTTCAACTTAAGTACTGCCATCTAGATGTAAGACGGAGCAAATCCTAAAACCACCCAAGATTGGGTGCTAAGGGCATAGCCTAGTCGGCAGGCACAAGACCTTTCGAGTGGTGAGTCACTCCATGAGCTTTGGACATGGGAGAAGACAGGTAAGATTTCAGAGTTCTGGAAGGAGCAGGAGTAGACAGAAGCCTAAAGAAGGGGCATCACAATTTCCTAGATAGAGATGTTAACTGGGCAAAGTCAAGTCTTTGGCTCAGTTTATCTACCTTTATGATCAAGATCAGATAGCCCAATTCAGGGCAATCTAGATCCCCAAATTACATTAAGTTCGGATGGTTACCAGGTAACGTAAAAGTGTATTCTTAAATGTTTAATCATCAGTGACTATGCAAAGATTAACATTGTAAAAATTCAATACTGAAAATGAAATTTTAAATAACCCTATTAATGCCTACATGCCAGAGTGAAGTCCCTAGTGCTTACTATTAATATTGCTAGGAGTGAATTGGAGCCAGATTTTGTTTGTGCCTTTCCACAAACGTTGAAGTCAAAGGAGGAAACAGTATTAACAACTAAAATTAGAGGACAAAATATCACCTTAATAAGCCTCTGATTAAATTTCTGTTTGTGCTCTCATTTACTTTAAGTTGTACTGAATTATTAGGCATGCCTCATTAAAAATGGTCATTAATTTTGATATTGAACATAAAATTTCTAGGACATTCACTGAGTTTACTACTAAAACCCTTAGTATAAAAGATTTCTGTGATCCTTACAAGGAATGGATAGCCTACTTTCATTGAATTATTCAAATTTTATATATATATATTTTTAAATAATCATGGTCAGACGTCCCCCACCTGCTAAAGATGAAAATATAGTATGATCTGGCTTCCCAAAATTGAAATATGGTTAATAAAAATAAAATATTGTATTTACATAAAATCACCTAAAAATTAAAAAGAATGGTGAACCCTAGGTCCTAGGAGTGGAGAAAAAAAAATTGTCAAAAAGAAAGAAGTTCAAATTTAAATTTTGGAAATTTTGTTCTGTGTCCCATGCATTTATTAATTACCATATTTTAAAAACCGCAATTATGTTACAAAGAAGATTTACTCTCTGCATTGCTTCTTTCATGTTAGCTTGGCTTTCTTTTTAGCAGGTCCTTTATGCCCTTTGGCCTTTCTTCTTAAATTCCGCCTGTCTACAACAGGCACTTCCACTTCGATTTCCTCTGAACTGCTATCCACAGCTTTTTCTGCTGACGGTGGAAACTGATCCAGGTGCTCAGACGATGCTTCTGACTGCTCCTCTGACTGGTTCTTCTGTCCTGCATTCTGTGAGAAGGGCACATCTTCCAGTTCAACCTCTATCAAAGAACTCTGAGGAAGAGCAGGAGATGTTTCCTGGGGCTCAGAGACCCCCTCCTCAGCCTGTTCTTCCAATGAGGAAGTAGTGTTGGGTGATACATTTTCAGAGACCGATTCTTCAGAAAATTCAGTTATCACAGAGTTTGGAAAACCGCTGTCAGATCGTTCTTCATTTGGGATAGTAGCAGCATCGTCAGAACTCCCAAAATGTGTTTTCTTTCTTGAAACTAGTGACAGTTTCTCATCGGTGTGCACTTTTTCATCAGATGGGCTTTCTTCTGTCAATGGTTCTGAGTCAATTATATGTGGAGTCTGTAAATAAAATATCCTGGTCAAAAAACTTTCGTAATCTAACTCAAAAAATTATTCTCAGACACTATCTGCAAGGATGGAGTCCTTGTGTGGCGCTGCGGGTTATTTATTGCACTGGACTGTAAAGTCAGTTTGAACTGCAAGGTCGGCAGTTCAAGCTCACCAGCCGCTTCTTGGAAACCCAACACAGGGTTGACATGGGTGGGAACCAACTTGATGGCACTTAACAACAACAATCTTAGTGGAACAAAAAGCATCGTCTTTCTTTCACAGAGCACACTGTAGTTAGCAGTCCAGTGCTTATCTTAAAGAGCCACCGCACTCCCCATGTAAACAATGTTGCAGTAAGTGCCATGGAGTCAGTTTCAACTCACACCAACCCTGTAAAGGGTTTCCAAAGGAGCTCTGGTAGCGTACTGGTTGTGAGTGGTTATGACCTTAAGGTCAGCAGCTCTAGACTACCAGCCGTTCTGTGGGAGACAGATGAGGCTTTCTGCTCCCGTAAAGATTTACAGCCTCAGAAGCTCTGTACAGGGTCGCTATGAGTTGGAACCGATTCCACGGTACACTACCATCACCATAGAGTTTCCAGGGAGTGTGGTGAGTTTGAACTGCTGACTTTGGGGATAAACCAACCTTACTGTCTAGTGTTTTATCCCACAGTGCTACACCAAGACTCCTATGTAAGCAACTGTTGTTGTTAAGTGCTGTCAAGTCGCTTCCGACCCATAGCAACCCTGTATAGGGTTTCTGAGGAGCAGCTGGTGAGCTTGAACTACTGACCTTGCAGTACAAATGGCTTTGCAGTCTGGTGCATTAACCCACAGCGCCACACCAGGACTCCCAATTCCCTAATTCACTAAAGTAAAATATTTTGTAACTGTAAATTAGATACAAATAAATAATATCACATATATGTGAAGTTATTGAATATTACTAATTGCATTTTCTGAAAATACCAAATCTAGTATAAATGTTAGTTTTCCTAAAGAATTAAGTATACACAATCACACATAACAATGTATCCAACAATGTACTTTAGTTAAAAAGTACGTTATTTCTCCCTTACTTTGTCCTGTGCAACAGCTTCGAGGGGTTTGGAAGATTCCACCACCAATGGACCAAGATTCCTAGGGTCTTCACAGGAGTTAAAAGACTGCAATTTTAATTCTTCATCTAAAGCATCCACAGCAGAGTCCTCCTCTTCAGCTATAATCGAGGTCTTAAGAGTATCATCCATTATCTCACCATTCATAGGTTCTAAGTCAGATTCCTAAAACATCAACGAAAAAAATCACAATGTGAATTACAAACCAACTTCTATGTCATTAAAGGCAGGCCCCTATTCAGTGCAAACTTATCATGTCCTAGGACTCAAGATGAATGCACAAGATCAAGGAGCAAGCGTTAAGGAATAGTCTTACTTGAGAAGAGGGTAAATTTATAAAGCAGGGAGAGGAAAAGAAAAGTTTGCCTGAGTACTCCAGACCCCCACAGTTCTTCTGAGAGGTGTGCTCTGTGGACACAGTGTAGGTCTACATTCAATGGCAAGACACTTCCCCCCTTCTCACAATCTTTTCTTAAACTAATAGGGTAATCATGTGGGGGATCCTTCACAGCAAAATGACCCCAGAGGTGGTCAAGATTGGTGCCAGCTCTTTACAAGTACACCAGCTGACTAGTACCTGGCACATTTGGGACCTTAAATAAGTTGCTGTTTACCTTGCCAGCACAGGAAACACAACAATACTAGTCTTGTAGAAATGACTTACTCATTGCAAATACCATTTTTAAACAAGACAATTATACACATGGACTTCACCAGGTGGAATACACAGAAATTAAACTGACTACATTTCTGGAAAGTGATGGTAGAAAAGCTCTATATTCATTAGTCAAAACAAGGCAAGGGGCAGAATATGGGACAGACCATCACTTGCTCATAAGTTAGTTCAGGCTGAGGAACCAGAAGTTAAAATGGTGTAGATTATGGAAATTGAATCAGTGATTGAATCACTCGTTCAACTGCTGGCTGGACTTGGCAAAACAGGTAAGAGATTTTTTTTCAAAAGACTTATTAAACAAGGAATCTGTAAAGAGGAAAAGAATGAAGATATTAAAAAAAAAAAAAGACAAGAAATCAAAGGAAAGAAGGAAAAATACTTGAGGAGCTTAAGAAAAAAACAGGTACCAAAGAGTTTGTCACAAAGCTTTGCCTATTTGATTTCTAATGCTTTTTAAAAATGATGGTTATGTACAGTTTAGCTCATTTCCCAGGAATTTGAAAAATCAACTGTGACCAAATTTTTTCTAGATAACTAATTCCTATCCTTCCACCAAAATACGGATACAGTTAAGGACACGTTGGAACTGAATGCATTCTAATTGATTCTATAAGGCAGATCTGATTTCCACATCATCTGTGCTTTACAAGTGTGTTTAGTTCCACAAATATTTTATATATTTAGATGCACTAAAGGACCTTGGTAGCACAGTGGTTACAAATCAGGCTGTGAACCGCAAGGTCAGAAGTTTGAAACTACCAGCTGTTCTGCAGGAGAAAGATGAGGCTTTCAGCTCCTGTAAAGATTTACAGCCTCAGACACCCTGCCCAGGGTTGCTATAGGTTGGAAATTACTCAACGGCACTTAACAACGAGGGACCTTGGGGAGCGCAGTGGCTCCATACGATAAGCACTGGACCGCGAAACAAAAGGTCAGTGGTTTGAGCCCACCAGTCACTCCGTGGGAGAAAGATGAAGCTTTAAGTTTTCTGCTCCCACAAAGCCTCAGACAGGGTCACTATGAGTCAAAACTGATGTGAAGGCACTTAACAACTTAAGGGACCTCACTATTTAAACACCTCCTAGTTTACCTGTGGGTTGGAATCGACTCAATGGCACTTACCAACAACAGTTTCTCTGTCCTACTATAAACAATTACAAACTGTTATAAATGCCCTTAGTTTAAACGTAAACTTAGCCTTGTAACTTTATGTCCTTCCAAACCCTAATAATCTGCCCTTGCTTAATTCAGATATATGTTTTTATTTATTTCTTTTGGCTTCTTTGTATCATTTTTTTTTATTTTGAGGATTCTTAGTGTGGTAAATACAGGTGTACCAGTACCTAAGTTACTAATGCCTGATTATGGACAACTCGTACTGGGCCTTTAATGCTGCACAAATCCATCCTCACTTAGAAACACTTGAACCAGCCCCTACTCACAACACACGCTGTATCACAATCTCCTCCAGTTGCTGCGCATACAGTTTTTAAACCACTGAAAAGGCTTTGACCCTTTACTTGTACTAAAGTAAGGCTGAACAAGAACTCTACATACCTGTTCCAACTTACCTACATATTCTTCAAGACACAAGAACTGATCTCATTTGCAATCTGGGGGCTGCCTGTATTCAATGGGTATTTGAAGAGTCTGTGGGAAAATTCTATTATCTACTAATTTTACTAATTTTTTATTACGGCCTTTCTAGCCAAATTTCTCGATTTTGTGATGTATTATAAATCCTAGCCTCCTGCTGTGGCAATGTAGGATAAGCACTGGACTGCGAACTGCAAGGTCAGCAGTTCAAACCCACCAGTCAATCCTTGGAAACCCTATACAAGGTAGCTAGGAGTCAGACTTGACTTGACAGCACTTAGGAATAGCATGCTTGTGATTACGGGCCCATATCGGAATGATTCTAAGGAGTAAACATGAAGGTGACGCTAAGGAGTAAAGGTTACGGTGGTGCTGTTAAGTGCTGTTGAGTCAGACTCAACACAAAGCAACTCTGTCTAGGGTTTGTGAGGAGCAGCTGGTGGGTTTGAACCGCTGACCTTGTGGTTGGTTAGCAGTCCAATGCTTATCCTATAGTGTCACACCAGTACCCCAAAGATCACAGTGAAACTGAAGATTAAGGATGCCCCCACCTTACTAGAGAATGTGATTCAAGTCACCACCCTTAGTTTCCTTGAGGGACATGGTCTGACTCCAATTTACAGAACTGCTTTGGAAAAGCTCACTCCCTTGCCCTGGATCTTGTAACTGGCTCATTACTTGTGACCCCCAGTTCATGGATCTTTCAGCCCATCACCTGACCTGATTCACAAGCTCCTGCAGTCTCGTGTAACCTGTCATCTGAGCTGTTAATTTGGGTTCCTCTGCTCCTGAGACTATATAGGTGAGAAGATTCCTCCAGACTATCTCTAAACTACAGATATGGGACTTGCCAGCCTTCACAACTGTGTGAGTCATTTCTTTTGACAACTGTTGAGTTTTGTGAGATGGGAATGGTTGCTATCAAGGGTATGGAGGGGCACAGCATGTCAGAAATATGGAATAGTTGGTATAGCTTCAATTCATAGGGACCACCCTTGTGCTGACCCTTCTAAAATAAACTATTCATGTTGCTGTTGTTAAGTGCTGTCGAGTCGGTTCCAACCCATAGCAACCCTATATAGGGTTGCCGAGGAGCAGTTGGTGAGCTTGAACTGCCGACCTTGCAGTTCAATTGGCTTTGCAGTCTGGCACATTAACCTACAGCGCCACACCAGGACTCCAAACTATTCATGCACCCCTCATATGTGTAAGCAAATAGTTTTGCTTTTTCAACATTGTCCATATGTACAATTCAGTGACACTATATGTATCACGTTATCAATTATTAACAGTATCTGTTTACAAATATTCTATCGCCTTTAACAGAAGCTCAGTGTTTCCTAAGCAGTGAGCCTCCTTTATCTCTCTCTTCCTTCCTCCATCTTACTGTTGTTGTTGTTGTTAAGTGCCATCGAGTCGGTTCTGACTCATAGAGACCCTGTACAGGGTTTCCGAGGGTGTAAATCTTTACGGGAGCAGAAAGCCTCAACTTTCTCCCATGGAGCAGCTGATAGTTTCGAACCGCTGACCTTATGGTTCGCAGCCCGATTCGTAACCACTACACCATATTCCTGTAGTACCCACTAATGAACCTTGGTCTCTGTCTACTTACCTAGCCTAGACGTTTCCTGTAAGTGAAATCATACAGTAATTGTACTTCTGTGACTGACTTAGTTTACTCAGTGGGTGTTCAAGGTTGAGTCTCGTTGTCACATGTCACCAGGACTGCATTTCTCTTGATGGGTGAGTGAAAAGTTCATTGTATGTATATATGTACCACAGTTTATTTATCCAGTCACTACAAATAGTGACATTTTTGGCATTATTCACTTTATGTAAGTGACGGCATACCTTTTCACCATCTTGCTTTTCCAGGCGTGCCTGGGTTTCTGATATTGGCTGTGAATCTTTATCGCTTCCTTCATCCTCGAATTCAATCACACTCTCCTCTGTTTCTTCTAGGAATTCTTCTGAGCTCTCGGATGTCCTTGCAGCAGCCTCTAATCTATGATAACAGTAACAAAAACAATGAGTTGACATAATTATTAACAATGCCCTTTTCATTTACTAAATTGTCAGGATAAACAACGTGGTTGAGTTCTACCTCTGGAATGCCTTTCAAACATATCCCCTGCCCTTCCAATCCCATTGCCATGGCCCAAGTTCAGGCGCCAATTCTCCCTGGGCCACAGT